TAATTTGTAAAAAAATATGATATTATATTAGATGTTCGTCAATTATATATTACTATTCAAATATAAAATACTCAACAGTTAATAATATTATATATGTATTTTCATTTAATATGAAAGATATATTTATTAGACATTCACAAAATATATATTCTATATAGTATTTTTCAGTTGATCACTCAGCATTCTTGGCTGCTTTGCATGTAAATCTTATTTAATGGCCCGTTTTAAGGCATTGAGTTGTTTGCATTTGTAGCAATTTACAGTTTGTTGCCAAATTAAACAAGAGCGCAAAGAGAGAGAGAAAAAAATGATTAGAATTCTGTGTGCGTGTGTGTGTGAGTGTGAGTGTGGCTATCAGTTTATTTTCGCGCTACAATTGAGGGCAATTTTTTGTTTCTAATCCGCGCCACAGCAAGGAAAGCCACACAAAGCTGAAGAATATTAGAACTAGCTGCGGCTCGGTTGGGCAGTTGCCAGCCAAAGCTATTTGCGCGGAGGAGAGTCAACAGCTAGCAGCTGGAAATTCCGGACGAGTTTTCTAATCAATGCAGCAGCAATTGCTAAAAATTGTTTTGGGGCTTAGCCCCAGAACGTGTTTAACTTCTGGCTTTGGCCGGCTGCACACAACAGAAATGTAAATTCACTGCGATGCTCAAATAGTTGGTTAGCATTCTGCACAGGCCGGGCCAAAAATTAATTAAAAATAGCGGCACTCGCTGTCGAGGGCAACAATGAAGCGAGAGAGAAAGACAAACACCAAAAAATGTTGTAAGCCAAGTGAACTATGTAGTTGCAACAATTGCTGCATGAAGTGAGCCACAAAATTCGCAAAGCCCCGAACTGGCCTCGAGAATGCGCAAATGCATTTAAATTTCTTAAGAGCCAATTAGAGTACTCATGCTGACAACTAAAACACATTGTAATGGATTAAAGTGCACAAAGGAACAAAGTACAAGGGAACTTAACTCATTTGCCAAGGCAATTGCTGCAATTACTGCTCCTGCTGCTGCTCCTGCTGCTGATATGTAGAGCCAATTTGGTGGCTTACACAGTTTGCACTCCAAGTGCAATAATTGTTTATATTTTTTGCAAATGAAAACTAAAACAATATAAACGAAAAGTTGAGCGCAAACTTGATGAATTTATATTTGAAGAGCAGAGAGTGTAAATACAAAAGTCAGCT